ATGGAAAATTCAATTAGAAATTAAGCAAAAGGAATTACACCTATCATTCTTCCAGACAAAACAAGAATAACCCCCAAAAACTCAAATCCGAAAGAGAGCCCCTGGACACAAGCCGAGTAGAACATAAAACAAGTGAGGCGCTCCTGTTGCAAGTGGCGGATGGCTTCGTTTTCTGTGAAGGGTCCCCCCCCCACAAAACCGTGTGCCTCTTTTTTGGTAGGGGCCCCACACAAGCAACCCTAGGTGCCAGTCCTAAATTTCTAATTGTGGGGCAATCTAATTTACCAACAATTGACCCAATATAATATTGATTCAAAATGCTAAACTACTCGAATTACAAATTTAATGAATTCAAACATGTCTGTGCGTAGAGTCTTGAAGTTATTTGGTATTCGTCCTGATGTCCCAAAATTTTTTCGAATTTTCCTGCACTTCAAAAATGGACTTAATCAGCCAGAAAACCTAATTAGCACAATTACAAATTTCCGACCAAATTAAGCAGAAGTCGGAAAACGGGGACAACAACATTAAACACAATTCCTTATGTATTTAAGGGCAAAAAACTAAATATAATTCAAGAAATAACGACTCATCATCATGTTTCCAGATGTTTTTCACGTCCGACTCCTTGACGTCGTCATTTCATCTATAAATATAGCTTAAATTTCGTGTAATCCCTGTCATCCTGTTTCTATGTTGAACATATTAGGATTCATGGTTTTTATATCCTTTGCGTTTTCTTTTCCTTAGATTTCGAAGCATTTTTGTTCCTCAAATTGCATCTGCTCACTTGAATTTCAAAGTCCCGCATTCAGGTCTCAGTTCATATGAAGGTGGCCTTTGAAATTCAAGTCAACAAAATGCCTTTTAGAGTACAGAAATGATTAAGTTATCTTACTGAAAGGGAAACACTTAGGAAAAAGAATAATGGTTCACAATATGTTTAATGCTGAAACAATTTTATGGTCTAAAATAATTATATAAAGAAGATGTTCAACTTCATCATTCAACAACGTATGAATCGTTTTTTTTAAATTGTCTTGGAGTGTCCTTCTACCATTAGATTTTCAGAGCTATTTGATTCCTATGGTGGAAACACTCTCGGCAATTTAAATTTATGAAGTTGACGTCGAATATGGGGTGCTAGGACGCAAAGCTGGGTATTGACGTCTACTATTTTGGATCACCATGTCCTATAACTTAGAGGATTTCAAAAGGAAATCTCCTCTTACAAACACTTAATCTAAAATGCTGACCAAAGATGATGGAAAGACATTACAACCAAAACCAGAAGTAAAAAAAAAAGACCAAGGGAAAAAGATAACTTGAATTGGTTTGCGGAAGATTTAGGATAGGTTTTGAAGGGTCCTACTTGAAATTCTATTGGTACGTTTCTGTGGTTTCCCCCATACGGTTCATGGTTAACAAAAAATGTCTCGTTTAGTGAATGAAAAGAACTGACAACATTTGAAAAAGTAACATGAGTTGATTACCGAAGTTTGTATGATAGGTTTGTCAAAGGGTCTACTGGAAATTCATGTTTAACAGTTTCATTTTTGCCCGTTGCCTTCAGTTCACCACGTCAGTTTATTAGGAAAAGAACTAAATAGTTGAAAAAAGTTAACATGACTTTGATTACCGAATTTATGTAGGATAGGTTTTCAAAGGGTCTACTTGAAATTCATAAGTGTTAACATTTTCCACTGTTTTAGCCCTTTGCCTTCATGGTTAACAAATAAATGTCTTCGTTTAGTGAAGGAAAAGACCTAAAGCAATTGAAAAAAGTTACCATGAATTTGATTACCGAAGTTATGTAGGATAGGTTTTCAAATGGTCTAAGGGCATTGGAGTGGTTGTGACCATTAATTGTGTGAACATAATGTTACGTCAAATTCAGCTGGTATATGATGTTTTAATCTTCATCCAAAAGCCAAAATTCACTCCATTTTTTATTACTTTTTCTTTTTCCTTTTGACTTCAGCTGTCTAGATGTTTTACTTTTTTTNTTGGTCTTGCTATGCTGTTGAAATCCTGAGGTCCAGCTACATTAGTATAGTCAGCAAGAGTTCGTCTATTATTATTGTTCTCCATCTCCTCAATGCTATGGTCAGAACTTTGTGGTGATGGTTGTAACAGAGTTTCTGGAGAAGGAAAGAGTTCTCTAGATGTACGGATTCTTCTCCTCCGTCTACTCTCGTCTAAACCTTCAAGAAGAGGTTCTACAGTTTTCTTGCTCCTAGTTCGGATTGCTTCCTGCATACACAAGAAAACAAATCCCTAAAAGAATTGGTTAGCACAAAAAGATATAAAAGAAGATATAAGATCAAAGATAAGAGGATAAAATAAAAATAGAAAAATAAAAACAGAAATTCAAATTTAAAAATTCAAGTAAAAGATAATCAATAATCAAACAAATAAACTAGTTAAACCATGAGTCCCCGGCAACGGCGTCAAAAAATTGATGACAAATTTATGAACACCGAAAACGACGCCACAAACTTGATTAACAATCGGCAAGTGTGACCGAATCGTATCAAGTAATAAACTCGGTAAGACCAAGTATCATTTTCCCAAAGGCTCACGGCCTAGTTAGTTATCTGATTTGTTGATTATTTAAGACTTGTGAACAATTGATTGTAGTTTTAAATGCAAAAGACAGTAATTAAACATGTATGCATGAATGTGATCAATGGCAAAAAGAGTAAAACAAACACGGGATGAATTATATGGATGAGTATGTTGTTGGGGTTATCAATTTCATCTTATCCACTCTCATATACTTTAGGAATTCATCAATCTTTTCATCAATGTTAATGTCACTCTCTAAATCACCTTGTCAAGAAGGCCTATCCTTAATTACGAGTTCATACAATTCCTAGCATTCCTAGTAATTAGTTCTGAAGTGTAGGAGCTTAACGGAACCAATATACTATTGGGAGAAATTCCCCGGATCTAGACTTCCCCGTACGTTCCCATATCGACAAAATCAATGATCATGACAATAAATGAGTTAAACACTGCATGCTTTGAGCAAAGAGGAAAAACCCTAACAATTAATCAAAGAAAGCATGTATCTCAAATAAGATTTTTAAACACAGATTCCATATATGAGAGTTTCACAAGATTACATTGATTCCCCAACAACAATACAAGGTTTAGTTCACCATATTCATGGTGAATCTAGATGAACAATGATGAGAGTATGAAAGATAAAACCCTAGAAAGGTAGAGAGGTAGCCTGAGCATCCAAGATCTTCCTTCAAAGGGGTGGAAAGAGAGTGTTTGCTTCGTCCCAGCCAAAGATACAAACCCTAGGAAACCCTAAAGCTTATATACTATTCGTAAAATTACAGAAAATTAGGCCCAAGCCCAAAATAGTCCCGCTCAGCGGTAAACTACCGCTCAGCGGTAAGTGCGCGAATTCGTTTCTTCCCCTCAGCGGCCTTTTCACCCCTCAACGGAACCAACGTGGGTTTCTGAGTGCCGCTCAACGGTAAACTGCCGCTGAGCGGTGGTTGCGGCTTCTCCTTTTGCATTTTTTAATGTCTTTTCTGATTCCATTCCTATCCTTCTTCACTTCTTTCACCAAATTCACCTTAAAACCTGCATAAAACACTGAAATCAAGCATAAACATGTCCAACTCTCTTATTTCTAGAAATATAACCAAAAGCATGATTTCAAGCTAGTTTCTAAGTGTTAAAGGTTGCTTTTAGTATCAAATTTAAGCATGAAAATAACAGTTTTTCAACTGTTATCAGCGGCCGACCAGGCGTTGCCTTTCCTTCAAATTGGCGGGAGTTTGCATCTCCAAGACCGCTTGACATTTATCCGGATTGGCCTCGATTCCCCTACAAGTTAGAATGAACCCTAGAAATTTTCCGGCTAGCGCACTAAAGGTGCATTTTGACGGATTTAACCGCATATTATACCGCCATACCTGAAGGAGGACTTCAGCTAAATCTTTTAAGTGCTGCTTTACTGACTAACTTCTAACGACCATGTCGTCCACGTATACCTCCATACATTTTCCAATTTGGTGGTGGAAAATTTTATCCATGAGAGGCTAATAGGTGGCACCTATATTCTTTAGGCCGAATGACATTACCTCATAACAATAATTGGCGCGTTCGGTTATGAAAGATGTTCTCTCTTGATCTGGTATATACATTGGGATTTGGTTATACTCCGAGTATGCGTCAAGAAAACTTAGCATCGCATGTCCATAAGCCCTGTCCACCAATTGATCGATGCTTGGAAGAGGGTAAGAATCTTTAGTACATGCCTTGTTGAGATCCGTGAAATCGACACACATTTTCCACTGGTCATTCGGCTTTTTAACCATAACGACGTTCGTTAACCATGTAATGTAGGTTACCTCCCTGATGGACTGAGCCTTTAGCAACTTATGACCTCCACTTGTATGGCATCCCGCTTTTCTTCACCGAATCTCCGCTTTTTCTGAGCGACTGGGCGCGCTTCTTTGACAATGGACAACTTATGCGTCATGACACTTGGGTGGATTCCCAGCATATCGGTGGCTACCCATGCGAACAAATCGGCATTGGCTTTCAACATTTTCGCAAAATTATGCTCATCGTTCGGCTCCAGGCCTCCCCCGATGGAGGTGGTTTGTGACTCGTCTTTTCCCAGTACAAAGGACTTGACATCCCATTAGGGTTGGATGCGATCGTCGATGTTGGTTCTCAGGTCGAGCTCGATCGTTGCTGTCTCTACCCCCTAGTCTTTCTTGGGGGTACGAAGGGTGTGACCTTTAGGCCAGCAACATAACATTGTCGAGCCGTTCGTTGATCAACCCTCATTGTACAAACAATACCTTTTTCTGACGGGAATTTCATAACTAAGTGAGGGGTAGATACGATGGCTCCAAAAGCATTCAAGAAGGGTCGTCTCAGCAGTGCATTATAAGAAGTGTTTACCTCTACCAATAAGAATCTTAATCTGAGCTCTCTTACTTCCTTACTTGTCCCGAGTCGAGTTCTCAAGTCGAGATATCCTCGAGTATCCACTCTTTCGCCTGCGAACCCACAATTTGCTCATTGAATGGGGCTATTATATCTTCGGATAGATCCATTTTTAGGAATGTGGCCCAGTATAGGATGTTGACCGAACTGCCCTGATCGATCAACACTTTACTGACATCATACCGTGCTATCTCAACGGTGATGACCATGGGATCATCCTGATCAGGGTCGGAGGCGTGAAAATCTGCATTGGTGAAAGTAATGTCTAGCATAAATCGAGGCTGCCGATCTACCATGTGAACAATTTTTAAGCTCCTCAAATGTCTCTTGTGAGCTGAGGATGATGCCCCCTACAGCGAAGCCTCCATATATGGTATCAATTCGCCCCCGGACCGACCTTTCTCGCTCGGGATCACGAGTGCGGCTTCCGGAGTGTCGCCTATGCCGATCGTCCTTCCGAGATGTCCGCTCGGGACTTCTGCGCGTAATTTTTCCCCTGGGAGGGCTTCTTGCTCTGGCGGCTTCTTCCTTTACGTATTTATGAGGGTAGCCCGCACGAACGATGCTTTCTATCTCATCTTTCAGTGTGCTACAGTCCTTTGTGTTATGACCATGATTTTGGTGAAAACGACAGGTTCTACTTTCGTCGGCATTTCCTTTGGACCGTGAGGAGTTCGGTGTGTAGGGCTTCTTCAAGTACTCTTGCCCTGGGTGCGTTAAGAGCTGTGTAATGATCGTACTTGGGTGTCTAGGCTAACTCCTTTCGAGGAGGCTTGTCACCTTTATTGCCGTTAGAGGGTCGCTTCGCTTCCTTCTTATTCTCGTTGGTGGGGACTTCTTGTTGTTGCTTCTTCCTTGAGTTCCTCAAGTCCTCAATATGAATAAACTTAGCGATCTTTTCCTGGAGTTCTTCCATAGATTTTGGTGGCTTGGCATACAGTTGTTTAGCAAAATATCCTGGTTTTAAATAGGAGGGCAAATTGTTGATGACGAAAGTGTGATTCGCGTCTTTCACTCGTCGTGCAGTCTCATTGTACCTCTGCATGAACGCTTTTAGGGTTTCATCCTTTTCTTGTTTGGTGTTCACCAGTTCTGTTGGTGTCATCTCCTGCCTTCGGTTGGAGGCATACTGTCTTCTGAAGAGAGTTTCCACGGTAGCAAAGCAGTCTACCGTGTTTGGAGGGAGGGTATGATACCACTCCAATGCTTCATCCCTCAAAGACAAGGAGAAGGCTTGCATATGACAGGGTCACTATCTGTGTAGAATGTCATCGCATCAATGAAGTTTCTCAGGTGGTTATTTGAGTTTGCCGAATCGTCATATCTCTCTAATGTCGGAGGAGGTTTCTCCGGCATAGGAGTTTGCATGATGTTTTCCGTAAACGGAAGTAGATTGATAGGCCGAATGGTTTGAAGGGGTGTGGGTGTGGGTCCCCTTCTTCCCCGACTGCCAGGTTCGATATGGATAGATCGCCCCTCATTACGACTACCTTCATTATCCCCCTGCCTGTTTGAGGCGGATATTTTAGGTGGGGGTCGTTGCACCCTTAACGCTGCAATTTCTTCTTCTTGTTTGTGCTGCGTCTCCTGCTGCTCTTGTATGGTCCTGGCCTGCGCCTCTACCTGAGCTTGTAACTCTCTGATCAGATCTCTGGTGTTGTTTTCTTCCATGTTCCTTGTGGTCACCATTGAGGGTCTTAAAATCTCGGGCCCCACGATGGGCACCAAATGTTTCGGTATAGATGAGTGAGACCGAGAAACTAACCTTGCTGACTAATATGGATAAGTGTTAATATAATCAATGACATAAGTTTGATAATCGATTAAAACAGAAAGAATATTCTAATCCATTACACAAATAGCCTAATCTGTTAAGACTGTTAACAAAAACAGTAATAGGGGCTTAAGAGTTTAAATGATCGATTACACACATGAGATAATCTGTTAAAACAGAAAGACAAACATAACAGATTATGCAATTAACATAATCGATTATTCTGCAACAAGATTTGAAAATCTTATATATATATATATATATATATGTGTGTGTGTGTGTGTGTGTGTGTGTGTGTGTGTGTGTGTGTGTGTGTGTGTGTGTGTGTGTGTGTGTGTGTGTGTGTGTGTGTGTGTGTGTGTGTGTGTGTGTGTGTGTGTGTGTGTGTGTGTGTGTGTGTGTGTGTGTGTGTGTGTGTGTGTGTGTGTGTGTGTGTGTGTGTGTGTGTGTGTGTGTGTGTGTGTGTGTGTGTGTGTGTGTGTGTGTGTGTGTGTGTGTGTGTGTGTGTGTGTGTGTGTGTGTGTGTGTGTGTGTGTGTGTGTGTGTGTGTGTGTGTGTGTGTGTGTGTGTGTGTGTGTGTGTGTGTGTGTGTGTGTGTGTGTGTGTGTGTGTGTGTGTGTGTGTGTGTGTGTGTGTGTGTGTGTGTGTGTGTGTGTGTGTGTGTGTGTGTGTGTGTGTGTGTGTGTGTGTGTGTGTGTGTGTGTGTGTGTGTGTGTGTGTGTGTGTGTGTGTGTGTGTGTGTGTGTGTGTGTGTGTGTGTGTGTGTGTGTGTGTGTGTGTGTGTGTGTGTGTGTGTGTGTGTGTGTGTGTGTGTGTGTGTGTGTGTGTGTGTGTGTGTGTGTGTGTGTGTGTGTGTGTGTGTGTGTGTGTGTGTGTGTGTGTGTGTGTGTGTGTGTGTGTGTGTGTGTGTGTGTGTGTGTGTGTGTGTGTGTGTGTGTGTGTGTGTGTGTGTGTGTGTGTGTGTGTGTGTGTGTGTGTGTGTGTGTGTGTGTGTGTGTGTGTGTGTGTGTGTGTGTGTGTGTGTGTGTGTGTGTGTGTGTGTGTGTGTGTGTGTGTGTGTGTGTGTGTGTGTGTGTGTGTGTGTGTGTGTGTGTGTGTGTGTGTGTGTGTGTGTGTGTGTGTGTGTGTGTGTGTGTGTGTGTGTGTGTGTGTGTGTGTGTGTGTGTGTGTGTGTGTGTGTGTGTGTGTGTGTGTGTGTGTGTGTGTGTGTGTGTGTGTGTGTGTGGGTGTGGGTGTGTGTGTGTGTGTGTGTGTGTGTGTGTGTGTGTG